TTAACATCAGTTTGAATTAGTTTAGATCTGTTTAACATCAGTTTGAAAACGGGTACTGACCAATTTAAAACACAATAAAAATAAGATCAGACAAAGTATAAACAAGGTAAAACTAGTTTGGAACCACTAAAACCAGTTGAAAACCATTTAAAACTGTTGTCAACTGTTCAGACCAGTCAAAACCAGCACCAACCAGCTCCACCTGTTCTGAATGGGCTGAGTCGAGTTAGAAAACAAGTTAAAATGTTTTTAAACTAATTCTAAACTGGTTAAACTGGTTTAAAACCAACTTTGCAACGTTTAGCATGATTTCTGATGAGTCTTTCATCTCATTTCAAACCAGTTATATTTTGGTGCTGGCACTGACCTTCCATCTTTTTTTGATCTTAGGACTGATCCTGGTCCGGACCTGATGACCCAGATCCTGTTCGTGGACCAGGTGGAACAAAATGAAGCTGCTTCACCAAACGTCTGTTTCCCGTTCATCACAGTCCTGTTGGTGGTCTTAGGGTCTGACATGGATCTGTGGTCTTTCTGGATTTTTTGGACCTTTACCAAGTGTGGACCCTCTGAAGATGAGTTTGTAGATAAAACATCTGAAGCTAAAGGATTTCTCCACAACTGAGAAACGATCACAGGAGGCTTGTTCTGTTTTTCTTAAATATGCAGTTTTTACTTCTGAAAGACGAGCAGCTGAAACACTTTTCTGTAGTTGTGAGATCTGTGGAGCTCAGAAGAAGAAGGAGGCCTAAAGGTGATGATGCTGACGTGTTTGCACTTTTACCTGAAATTAAAAGATGTTTATGCACCTTGTTGCACCTGTGGTTTGTGGAAAGGACCCCGCTGATGCTGCAGTGGTGTAGAGAGGACGGTGTTCTGTCACGTCTCCTGGTCTCTCCAGCGTGTCCTGGGTCTTCCCTGGGGTCTCCTCCCAGTTGGGCATGCCTGAAGCACCTAGGGAGGCGCTCAGGGAGCATCCTTACCAGAGGTGAGGGGAGGAATGTAGACTGACCAGTAAACAGAGAGCTTTGTCTTACAGCTCAGCTCCCTCTTCACCACAATGGACCGGTACAGAGTCCACAATACTGCAGACACTGCAGCAGTCCATCTGTCAGTCTCACGCTCCATTCTTCCCTCACTCATGAACAAAACCCCGAGATACTTGAACTCCTCCACTTGAGGCAGAACCTGGACCTGAAGAGAACAATCCACCCTTTTCTGTCTGAGGACCATGACCTCGGATCTGGAGGAGCTGGTCCTCATCTCAGCTGCTTCACACTCGGCTGTGAACCGCTCCAGGTTTAATTTTATACAAATTAATAAAATAGAATAGAAATAATGAGATTTTATTGATGTCCAAGTTTAAGCAGTACAATATGAAGAGGCTCTTTAATAAAAGTGTTTGAGGTACAGAGACACCCTGAGGACACAGCAAAGACACCCTGAGGACACAGCAGAGACACCCTGAGGACACAGCAGAGA